CGCCCCGGTCGAGCGCGGCCGCGGCGGCCAAAACCTCGCCGCAGGCCGCGACCTCGTCGTCGCGGACGCGGCGCGCGGACGCGGCGCGGTGCGCCGGGCCCGCGAAGCCGTCGAAGGCGCCGTCGGCCGCGTAGCACTCCAGCGCCGAAGACGCGAGGCGCCGGAGCGCCGCCGCGATGGCCGCGGCCGCGGCGCCGTCGCCGGCGACGGCGGCCTCGACGTCCAAAATCCACAGATCGCGCTCGGGCGCGCCGCCCGCGAGCCCGTCGTCGACGGCGGCCTCCCAGGCCGCGAAGTCGTCGTCGGACGCGACGAGCGCCGCGACCGCGGACAGGAGCGCGTCCGGCGGCGCCGCGCCGCGGACCACGGCGCACAAGCCGTCGGGGAGCGCCGCGGCGACGGCCCGGAGCCGCTCCGGCGCCGCGGCGCCGCAGGCGTCGAGCAGCTCCGCGACCCGGAAGACGCGCGGCGCCGGCGCCGCGCCCGGCGGCGCGAAGCCGTAGCGCTCCAGGAGCTCGCCGCCGTGCGCGAACTCGTCGTAGCAGTGCCTGGGCAGGAAAAGAGTGAGTCGCTTCAACGTGAGCGTTCCGCGCGCGCGCGTTCCGGGAAAAGCATCCACGCGTCGAGACCGTTCCGAGAGATGATCGCTCGTCCAAAAATCAGCCGAAACGAGTGGAAATCGGCCGAGATAGGAGCCTTTGAAGTTGGGAATTCCTGCCCCGAGCAGTGCGTCAGCTCCTCGCCGCTTCCCAGGTCGCGGCTTGCGACCATCTCGAAGACCCCGTCGCCGTCGACCTCGAGGGTCGTGCACGGCGCCGCGCGGCCCCGGCCGTCGTTGAGCGCGTCGACGCCCGGCACGAGCGCCCAGGAGCCGTCGTCGAGCTGCGCCGCGCGGCTCCGCACGAGCCGCGCGGATCGCGCGGACATCCGGCGCCGCTTCGAGTGGTCGCCGCCGGCGCCCGCGAGGCCCGTGCCCGCGAGGAGGGCCCGCTCTCCGCGCGTCCACGCGTCCAGGACCTCCGGGTTTTCGGGAAGCGTCGCGGCGTAGGGCGCCCACTCCGCGTCTTCCAGAATTCCGTCGAGCGCGGCCGCGAGCGCGTCCTCGTCGTCGCGCCGCAGGGCGCAGCGCGCCGGCACGCGCAGCAGCAGTTCGCCGGCGGCGATGGGCGCCGCCGCGACGGCGGACCGCTCGCCGCCGACGTCGTCGTCGCGCCGGCGGCGCAGGTCGACGCGCGGATGGCAGGCGCCGCCGCGGGCCGCGAGCCAGTCCGCGAGGGCGGCGCCCTGGTCGGAGATGGTCGGAGGCGCGAGCGCGTTGTTTTGGTGGTGCTCTAGTGCAGCCATCGCGCTCCTCTAGCGTCGCAGCCGAGGCGCTCACATGCCCTCGAGAAACCTCGAGCTCGAGAGCTCGCGTCAAGTTGCACTTCAACATGCGGCCCACGGCGACATTACGCGGCCCCCCCGAAGGCGACGTGGGCGCCGTCGTCCGTGGAGAGGAGGGGCACGCCGCCGCGCCGGAGCCGGCGGATGACCGCGGCCTCGAGCTTCCGCGACGCGCTCTTGTCGCCCAGCGCCACCACCAGCGCGGGCGACCGGTCGCCGTAGGTCGCGTCGTGGCGCGCGAGGCGCCCCCGGAGCGCGTCGGTCTCGCCGACGTAGACGGCCGGCGCGCCCGAGACGTCGGACGCGGCGAACGCGTAGACGCAGGACCGCGCGGCGAGCTTCGGCGGCGGCGGCCGGTCCCGTTTCACCTGGGCAGCACAAGAGAGATTCAACGTCGCTTCAACGTGAGTGTTCCGCGCGCGCGCGTTTCGGAAAAAGCATCCACGCTTCGAGACCGTTCCGAGAGATGATCGCTCGTCCAAGAATCAGCCAAAACGAGTGGAAAGCGGCCGAGAAAGGAGGCTTTGAAGTTGGGAATTTCGCTCTCTTTTGCTACCCTGCGCTTCACGACGAGCACGGGACCGCCCGCGCCGAGCGCGGCCTCCGCGGCCGCGAGGGGGTCCGCCGCGCCCTCCGCCACGGGCGCGTCGCGGCCGAGGAACGCCGCCGCGCGCGCCACGAGGCCCGCGGGCACGCCCGCGCGCGCCGCGGCCTCCAACGCGCGGCTGTCCGTACAGACGCCCGCCTCGACGCGAAACGCGGCGCCGCCGTCGCCGCCGGCGCCCATGCGCCAGGGTTTCAGCGTCGCCGGCGCGTCGTCGCCGAGCACGTCGAGGATCTCGTGGAGGTGCGTCGCGAAGACGCCCGTGTAGCCCCGCTCGCGGAACTCGCAGAGGACCGCCGCACCCACCGCCGCGCCCTCGCGCGCGGACGTGCCCCGCCCGAGCTCGTCGACGAGCACGAGGGACCGGGCCGTGCACTCGTCGAGCAGCTGCGCGAGGTCGTCCATCTCCACGGCGAAGGCCGACTTGCCGAAGACGGGCGCGTCGCCGCGGGGAGACCTGCGTGCGAATCAAATCTTCAACCCGACTTCAATGTGAGCGTATGCGACAGTTTCGTCGCAAGCGCTTCGGCTGTGCTTCGAGAACTCGACGAAAACAATCGACTCGTCCAAAAATC